GAAAAATTACTTGTAATTTCAACAATAAACATTTTTCTATGTAATCTTGAAGTTATTAAAAGCCCTTTAAAATTCCATCCCGGTATAGGAAGGGTTTTCAGGAATGGTCGCTGGTTTGGTTTGTTTTTAAAAGTATATTGACAAAAATCCATTTGTGTGCACAACCTTGTATATAAGTAGGATTTTAATTTTCTCTTGATACCATCTCAGAAACTGAGTCTCATTTAAGTAATTTGGTGTTTGGTTAGATTATTTAAGGTAGATTTTGTAGTTTGGATTTACGATTTTGGTGAACAAATGTACAAAGATTTTGGTGATCAGTTTGCAAGTAATTTGTTAATCGTTGAATTTGGGAATCTATTTGTCTTTTTAAATGGTATTCAGTATTTCATAGCCTGAGTGTAATGGAGATCACTATTTTAAGTCTAAGGAATAAAGCATCATGTATCTAAAAGATGAATAATTTCAAACAAGCTGATAAGGTTTTTATTATTACTTTTGCATTTGAAATGTTTTATGTACTGGCTTAATTCTGTTTAAATTTTATTTTTACCTTTGTGTTTATGGTTCATTTGTATAAGTTTTTATAATAAAATAATTTAAATTTTCATATTTGCTTGAGTTATTTCCTCTTTCTCATTTATTTCATGCTCATTCAGTTCATCTTCAAGTGTGTACTTTTTAAACTAGATTTGATCAAATGTCAGACAATTTTTTATTCAACTCTGAAGAACTTTAATTTCAAATCTTGTCAAAACCATACATGAAAATATTGTTAGCAACACTTCGATTGTAGACTGACAAGACGTTTTCAATACAAGCTTTCTACGTATGAAAGTATTAGAGATCTGATGTTTGCTTGTGATTTTATTTTGGGAGCAAGATTAGCAAAATTTCAATTATTTGGTATTTTCATTGGATAAGGCAGGCTGGTTTTAAGTGTGTTTTGATGTCAGGAAAGTAGGACACTTTATTACCTTATAATAGTTCCTTTTAAAAATATGAAATTATTTCTGTTACAGTGGAAGAGTTGTACCTATCCACTCTGCTACGCTAAAGGCAGTCCCTTGGGCTTCACCTACAAAAGGATTACTGCTTTGTTGCTTGCTTTTAAGCTTATTTTGTGTATTTCAAATAATCCAAACATGATTTGTGAATTCCTGAAAGAGCATGGGATGCTTCCAGCGGTAATGAAGAGGAGAGTAGATGGACCAATGACTGAGACGTACAGTATTCAAAAATCAGGGCTTTGCACTGATGGCTGAATTGAAACTTTATGCCTACATTTTA